AACAATTAAAACAGAATAGGAGCAGAGCAAAAACGGACCTCCAAAACATCAGAGGTGGAATCAAGTATTAAACATCAAAAATCTTGACGAAAAAAAAATCACCAATTCCTCCTTTGTGTAGTATTCGACACCTAAAATTTACAATGAATAAGAATATCTTCTTAAGAATTTCAGGCAGCAAAACTTCCGAAGTTCATTTCTGAATTTATTATCAAAAAACCAATATATATATGGATTAGCAATGTGATTCAGAAGGTTAAAACGTAGACAGAAATAAAACACGTTTAATTGATACCCTCTCAAGTCCATCATTGGGTGTAAAAAAGTGTAGACTTGCGTAACAAGTGACGTAAGATACGAAACTACGTAGACAATTATGATGACGAGGAACATGATGCTGATATCCCTCCGCGCTCTTTGTTCCCGGTTTCCATCCGTTGTTAAGGTGTTCGTGGGTTCCTTTTGAGGAGTTCGCACAATATTTTGTGGTGAATCCGCCTTTGTTATTTTTTCAGCACTAAGATCCTGTGTTTCTTTAGATGAGATATCGGTGTTATCGTCTGGAATAATACTTACTCGATTTCGTTTGGGAGTGGATAGTGTTTTATAGATAGTCTTGATCACAGGAATGTACAGAGCGGAAGTGACAATGATATTGATAAAAGAAAGAATGAGAAAGGTTCCAAAATACGGGATCATTACACTACTTCCGTTGGTTCCATCGTCGAAATGACACATTTTTAATGAAGAGGGTCTATATATTCCACTTAATTTCAAAATTGGAGCGGAATACCCAACCGATATTAGAAATATAATCAATGTAGCAATTTTGCATGATTTTGTTGACATTTGCGGACCAAACGGACGACAGATGATTAAATACCTTTGCAATGCAATCGCAAATATCAAGTGCGCCGACATTCCCCCTGCTAGGATGATTAAAAAACATAATGTTTTACATAAAATCTCGTCAGGGTATATGTAACGCATAGTGTTGTCAATGTGAAATGCGGTCACATTTGAAATGCATCCTGCAAGATCCACAATTGCCAGAATTGGAATGAAAAACCGAGAAGACGTTTTGTCCTGTATATATCTAAAGTACACCAAAATAACTACAGAGTTTCCCAATATTCCAAAGACAGCAGCAATTAACTGTGCGATTGTATTGGGAAGCAACTTTTCGGAATATCTCTCAGAAAGAATTCGTGCAAACTCCATATTCGCATTTGCCGTTCAGAAAAGACGTTTTAAAAAAGTTAAATCTAATCTTCTCTTTGACAGGGGGAAAGAATAAAAAGGGGAAAGTGAAACAATATCGTAAGAAGATTTAACGTATCACAAGCAGCTAAGAGAAGTATTGTTAAGGACTTGGCAGAAGCGCGTATGATTCATTTACAAATGTAAGACATATGATGAACAATAATGTTGCATAATCCCACTAATTTTGTAGTGCCTGTTTTTTAAACCATGAAGTGAAAAAGATTTTAAAATTTACACATTAATTAACTCAAATCGTTCCGAGGATATGATGCTGAATTATGAATCAGAAATTACTGGGTTGCTATAAAATCTTTAATAATCAACTGGTTTTTTTTCATCAAAATTTGACCCACTAAAACCACAGTTTATTTATTTATTTATTTTGGCGATTACATGTAAATTAAATATTTTTTTTCCAAATAAGAATGAATGATTGTAGGTTATGCATACATGTATCTCTAGACACCAAAAATATTTCTTACGTCGTTATACCGTTATAATTCCTTTTTGGCATGTATTGTCAATATATCTGCACATTTTTTCACCTCTCACATATTTCTCAATATAAATGCACATTTTTTCACACCTTGTATATTTTTTCTTACAAATATTTACAATACCATTTCCTAAAAACTATCTTATTCCCAGTTGTATGTGTGGTTGAATCTCATTCATATCATATATATAAAGACAGATTTTGTATCCTAGAACAAAATATCTAAGTTTCAGAATAAATGAATTTGAAGAAAAGTTTGGCCTATCTATTGTGTCCTACCTAAAGCTATCAATGGTCACATTCGTTTAAATTTGTTCTATGAATTAATTATAAACCTTTTAGCAGAATTTAAGGGTATTCCACTGTCGTGTTGTTCAAATATTCTCGCAAAATATGTCATTTAACTTCCTGACTAATAAAACATATTTTTTGTACAATATTACTACATGAATATAGATACATTTTAAAATACTTTCATTTTAGAAAAAAAAAAAAAAAAAAAAAGAAAAAAAAAAAGAGAAAAAAAAAACCAAAAAAACAAAAAAACAAAAACAAAAGCAAAAAAAAAAGTTTCTTATTGATAATTTTTTTTCAAATATATTCAATGAACATTTATGTTGCTTTTAAAATTTCACGGTAGAATTGCCTTAAAGAATTGCTGTTTTGAAAATTGATACATTCGATCATTAGCCATGGATATTTGTCATGAAGAGGTGTTAGTTTTTCTTTTCTATCATAAGGAACTTTGCAACTCTTCTATAGTTTGATTTTCTGCTAAGTTAGAAAATTTAGAGGGAAGTAATGCAGAATAGCAGCGTTTCGAGTTATGCCGGAACACCGTTTTTATTCGACTTTTATTCACGCCGATCACGTGATTTCACAAAAATGTTCCCCATGGGTACTTCCGGTTGTCATTGTTTTCGTTGGAAACATACCGTTTGAAGCGAAAAAAGACGCCGGCTGGTACTCCTGCGCGGCTCCTGGCTGAACATCTGACGATTTAATACAGGGGAGTTATGGGTACATGTCATCAGTACAGATTTTTGACTTCCCCTCCAAAATAAAGTCACCAACAAAAAGAAATTGTCATGACCTTAGAAGAAGGGGGTCCGACTTCGAGCCTTAAAGAAAGAGACGAGTTTGTTCCTTACACTTTGTGGACGGATAACCCACTCCCGACCACCCATACCCAGAACTATTTGAATATGACAACTTCAAAATCAAATAAAGTAAAAAAAAGGTTTAAAATATAATTAATTTACCTCAAAATGCCTTTATTCCATAGATGCAAATTAAAGAAAAATCAAACGTACACAAGCTTTGCAATTAAAATGTACACAACCATTGCTTTTGATACACTGCTACAATGAATTTTGTTTGTAGATTCACCCTAATACCTTAATTCCAAAAAGAGAATAGGCTTTATTACATTTACACAATTCTATGAAGAAGGAAGCTGGTATCTGCGGAGACGAGGATGGCTGCAGTGATTATGACACCAGTAAAACATATAGTAAGTTGTTTTGACTTTCAATGTTCTTTATTTTAATAATTCTTACACTTAAACATATCAAATATATAATTATAAAAATTATATAATATTCAGTACTGTCATGTATTGTAGACCATGCGTACTGGTGTACTAATGTTTTTTTTTAATTGTTGCTTCATTTCTTGTCTCATGTTGATGCTGATGCAGTGTTTTCCCTAAGAACCGTCTACCGGCCAAATTGACCACTTCAATTGACAAAAATGCCACTTTGAAATAAAAATTTGTTGTAAGGTCCACAGAGATTCTGTTCATAAACCTATGCTCCTAGCCTGTTACAACTGATCTCTAGCCCTTTACTTTGAAATAAAGGAAAAACACTGCCTGTCTGATGACATGAATCACCAAGAATTAAATGGCTGTTGTAAATGAATGCGAGATTTCTGAATGGAGACATCTGTCTAATACTGGTGTTTGCTATATATGAGGATATTGCAAGAGATCATGACTATGGAGAGCATACCGGTATCACACTCAGCAACACACAGATGCATCAACTCGGACAGATTTCAGCATGACTGATATAGACAATTTGCAGCAAAAAGCAAAACAGTTTAATGATCAAGATACACTCCTGAGAGATCCGCATATTGCTCACTTGAGGATTCATGTAGAGAGAGGTATTGGTAGATTGAAAACTGTTCGAATTTTGTCAAAAATCATGCCGCTAAATCTTAAACCTGTAGTCAATCAAATTCTTACTGTATGTGCATTTTTGTGCAAACTTCAAAAACCACTTGTAAAGAAGTAATTATTATGAGGGAAAAAATGCTTCAGATTTGTTAAATGTTTATTTTTAAAAATCTCAAATATTAATTGTATAAAAACAACTAGACATACAATGTATATTAAACAAATGAGATGTATTTCATTAAAAAAAGGATAAAATTATTGACTGAGAGCTAATTAAACATTCTTTATCTTCTTTTAAAATTAAATGTAGTTTATAAGAAATACTTCATGTACTATTAGTGCTACAAAGTTTCAAACATGAACAGTCCTGAAGTGAAAGTAGCAGTTAAAAGTTATACAATTTAAGCTACTCTTTATGTACATTGTATAATGATTTAATACTCAACGCTATAATAAAATTTATTGCCAGTACTCTCAAATGTCTGAATTTCTGTGTGTATCTCAAAACAAGCATGCTTTATGTCTGGATATTACACAATGTGGGCGCAATGGATGGTTGTTGGGTATGGTCAATCCTCAATCTATCTTGCTTATTTCACTTGGTACGGATTTCTTCTTTGGCTTATCCCAGACACACTATATGTCTGTAAAGGCCTCGGTACTTCGGTCCCTGTGCCTTTCACAAAAATTTGACAGTGAGAAATTGAAGGCAACACAAGGCTTACATGCTCCATTATATCCTGTAATAAAAAAGAAGAAAATAGAAAATATGTATATAATGTTTATAAATTATAATTATGTTTCCAAAATTTATCATCCTAAAAACTTTCATGTACTCAAAAATCAAAGTTTTTATTCAATAGCTTTAAAAACAAAATATAAAAAAATTAGGAATATTTCCTACCATATGAAGATGATAACCATTGATTGTCCTGCTTGTAATTTAATACACATGCAGAACTCCACCGACACTTCTGCATGAGGTAAACTAAGACATCAAAAGATCCTACATCTGGTATCTGTGCCTGCCAAATCTTTGTTCCTATATAAAAATAAAACTCATTCAATTGAAAAACTATTTCAACTTCCAATTTTATTTTCAATATATGTAATTTATATAAATGTAAATAAATATTTTTAAATTAATTTATTTTTCTTTTTGCTGCCTATATGTTTCTCTAACTGTAAGATCAACTAAGTTGTGCTTATGAAATTATTATGTGTTTTTTTTAATGATTTAACTGAACTGTGAATATTGGCCAGGGTAACTCAATCGGTTTAACGCCTAACTAGGAATGCAGGAGTTTTACATGTAGGTTCAATTCCCTATACAGCTATATATTTTCTCTTTTCCTCTTTCGGTATTTAGACTCAAATGATATATCCACTAAATGAATTGTATTTGAAGAATTTTTTTTCTCTTATTTCACACTTACTTAGACACTTAGAGGGGAAATACAGAAATATGTGGGGTCCTTGAAAAACGCCGAGCCCAGAATGTTTTTTCAAGGAACCCTCATATTTCTATACTTAATACCCCTCTAAGTTTCTACATAAGGAATTATCCAGTCAGAGATTTCTTTAAAATAACTGGGTTTTTTTTGTATTAGTAAATTGTTCCGTAACAATTGTTTACATTGTGACATCATTTAATGTATATATCACGTCAATTATTAGGCTCTTTGTGCTTTCAAATGAAAACAACGTATTGACTATGATCTGTGCAGAATGGCACATGGAGGGGGCATATTGATTTGATGTGTGGTGGGTAGGTCACGTTGAGGGGGCACATTAGCATTATGATTTGGGTAGACAGCATAACATTGTTTCATGCAGTATTCTTTTCGACCAATGAATTTCACAGATTTTTATCAGAGGCAAGATAAAAGAACTTCAACACTTCATATTATACAGTCTTGTTTTAAATAAAGTAATAAAAATATTAAAATATTTGACCATGCTAAATACTCTGTAAATAGCTATTATAATATGATTGATCTTGAAGTAATTTCCATACTAAGCATATAGTAAACATGTGAAAAGAACAATTACTTTTAGTCCTAGAGCTGATCTAATAAGCTGAGAAAATTTCAACACATCATACCAGTTAGAAACTTGGAATGACTGACTTGAAGTTGGTCCAATATCACCTTCTCTGATCCAAGGAACACTGATCTGCGTCGAGTATCGACGTCTACATATTCACCATGAGAATATCTATAGACATGATAAAAGAATTTTTATATTATGCAACCAGGGACCAATAAACACAAGGTGCAACTATTAATTAAATGATAGTAAATATATTTTAACACTGTACATTTTAACTTTGACAGTTTATGTGGCATTTTATTCATAAATTTTACAGCACTATTAATTATAAATAGATACACGTAGTCATGTATGGTGTACCTCAACGCTCAAGATTAAGTTCGTGAGCGAGTTCACAAAGACGAACTACATGTACATTGTAGATCCAAGTCTCTCGCCATACTTCACTGAATTCCTTTGTCCTGGTGATAGTTCTGCAAATCGGGAACAAGCCAGGAGAAAAAAAATCACACCTTCAGCCATAATTCCTATTATTTACTATGGTATTCCGCTTTTTCATGTTTTTGTATTGATATTTCAAGAAAACGTAATGTAACCGGAAGTTACCATGAGGAACATTTTAGTGAAGGCGCGAGTAAAAATCGGGAGACACTAAAGATTTGACCTACTAAAGACCTGACTGACCTGACCAACATAAAATTCGTCAAAAATCACTATTTTAAGACCAATTATCATGTTTTTTATGGATATTTTCTTGATAATGATATGAAATTAAGTTAAATAAATATTAATATTGAGATTTTTACCAAATTTATTGCTATTTATCTGTTCATTTCATAGAAATGTAATGACCTGACCAAATATGAATTGACCTGACCAAAACCAAAATCATCAATAATAGTTATATTTTTTAAATATTTGATACGTTTTAAAGAATTTTCTTCATTATAATGGTTCATACTTATATCATAGAATTTTAATGATCTGACCTAATATGAAATGACCTGACCAAATATGAAATGACCTGAACAAATAAAAATCACTTAAAATCTTTATCTTTCTTTAAGTATTTCATACTTTATGTTACATCATAATCAACTGTATGATATATTATATTATATTAAGCATAATCCTTAATTAGTTAAACACTTCAGACATGAAAATACACATTTATGAACTTTAATATGAACTAGTACATAAAAAATTGCATTGACCTGACCAAGCAAACTGTCGGAATTTATATACATATGTGAATTTTTACAAACTATTATTTAAAGAATTTAATGCTCATACAATTTAAAAATTATACTAAATCTTTTTTTAAGCATTTGGAAAAATATTGGTGACATATTACAACAATATATTGCAATGACCATGTCAAATGCTAAAGACCTGACCGACTCTACCTACTAAAGACCGGACCAACCACGACTTTGTGTCTATATGAATGACTTGACCGACCATTTCTACTAAAGACCTGACAAACCATGTCTATATACATGTACTGAAGACCTGATACTACAACTTTATTCAAATTATATCTATTTTTTTTTAAATTTTGCATTTATGAGTGCAATAATCGAAACTATTACTTGAGTTTGTTTGTCTGTCTGCCATGTCAAGATGTTTACCTGAGTTTGTTTGACTGTCATGTTTAGATGTTTACCTGAGTATAAGATTCTGTATATGTATAAAATAGCAGCGCTATTTAATATTCAGATACGTGTATTTTATAAACTAGACTTTACTAGTAAATATTATTTTTATGTTTTTTCACATCGTCCAATTTTTAAAAATATTTGGATTATTAAGATTAAATCTGTGTCATTTAGAGATATATATACAACTGTAGTTGTAACCCTTATGCAGACAAACGAATTATAAATATTGTCTTGATTATTTAATTTAAACATGTTACATGTAATAGGCTGTGATATCTGTGTATTTATTATTTTTTTAATTTATGAAAGAAACAAAAATAAATTATATATTTTTTTTTCAAAATTCAGATTAAAAACTGTTACATTTTATAATTTCTGTGGTAAAAGTATTTAATTTAATCCTTCCTTCTTTAACAATTCTTGGGTATTTTATTTGATTTTAATTTGATTTAAATATAATATTCATGCAGAAATCTTTTAAAAAAAAAAATGATAAAATGAGATGGATTAACTAGTGTCTCCCAGTTTACATTGTTGATTCCAATGTTACTGTGATAGAAGTGTCAAAAGGGGCACTGACCTATGTTGTTTGTTTAACCATTACCTTTCAATATCCCTTGTGTATACTGTTTGTCTAATACTAGTAAACATTAAACTTCATTATACTGATTAAAATGGGGTTATTAAAATTCAATTATCTTTTGAAGTTTTTTTTTTGTAAGAGCATACAGACCTGCTCAATGTAGATAATGTGATTTGAAAAGCCACATGGCTTGAGGAAAAAATAAGCAAAGTTATTAATTAAATCAAACAAATAAAGCAGAATAAAACAAACAAAAATTGACGAAGTTTATAAAGAAATTGTAGATTTAAACAAGTTTTCATTGTTGAAAATGTTAAATGTAGTGTTAAACAATTATCATGATTATAGATCAAGCTTTTAAATAGGTTATTAAAATAAAAATTTCATGATCAGAGATCTATATAATAGTAGGTTAAAGTATATCTATTTAAAGTAATGATCTTAAAAAGATCCTATTTTTGTTCAACTAAAAAAAAAAATCATATGTTCAATTCAGAAATTCATCATTTGACATATATTGACAAAAAAAAAAAAATCAGAGCACAGCTGATTAAGCAAATGAATTCTTTCTTTAGGCTAGTTTGTTACATTAGTCAGATCAAGATCTTTGTTAAATATTCAATATTTAAAGATTCGTGTTAAACTGGTCCGGACTTAACGCCATTCAGGCCATGTTTTATAGACTAGAATTTAAAGTTATATATATTATAAAATTATACATTTTTATTATTATAACCTTATAGATATTTTGTTATAAATGACTGATTCAAACATGATCAGTCAGGACATTATACAGTAAATCTACGTCAATTCAGGACAATTAATTTTAACCCCTCTATTAAAAAGAATAATTTCAGTTGATAATAATTTACGTTTTAGTTAGAGAAAAATATAAAGTTATTTTCAAAATAGTTGGGCCTTTAGCTGTTTAGTAGAAATAATCAATCGAGTCTGCAGTATAGACATGGTTGGTCAGGTCTTTAGTAGTGAAATGATCGGTGAGGTCTTTGGTAGAAATGGTCAGTCAGGTCAATGAGGTCATTCATATCAAGACAATCATATGGTTAGGTCTTTAGTATCGATATAAACAGTCAGGTGTCTATATACAATTGTTTTAAGATCATTTAAAAATCGAATAAAAACGGTGTTCCGGCATAACATAGAAGTCAACTTTACGTCTCGTAAGTCATTTTTTCTTGTTTATTGATTATTCACATAGGAAATCATAATGTATACTTTCCATATGTATAAAACTGTACATTAAAGCACAAATATTTGATTCAATAAAAAAGAAAAAAATGTAGTCATCATTTGACTACATTTCCCTTCTTGTTGGAAAAAAAAACATTATATTTTTAAGGCACATCGTTTCTCATTTCCTTAACCAAAATGTTCTATAGTTAACTATAGTAAATCGAAGTTTTCACTATAGTAAATCAAAGTATTTTACTATGAATTTCATAAAGATAAATTTTATTTGGTAAAATTCCCATTAGTAAATTTCTGACATAAAAAATACCTTTTTTGTACATGTAACGTAATATTTACGAGTAAATAACTTTTCAAGAAAATTCATCTGAATTTATTTTAATTTTAATTAATTCTTTTTTTTCACGAATCCACAATGATAATTCGTGACAAAGACTGCATATAAGATGTTAATAAACTTTTCGCTTCGCTAAAATACAGACTCCTACGGAAGCGTATTAGTGCCACGCAATATTTTTTTTAAGTTGGAAATTCCAACTTTAATCCTGGCTTTTCCAACTTTAAAGTTGGTAATTCCAACTTTAATCTTGGCTTTTCCAACTTTAAAGTTGGTAATTCCAACTTGAATCTTGGCTTTTCCAACTTTAAAGTTGGAAATTCCAACTTTAAAATTGGTAATTCCAACTTTAATCCTGGCTTTTCCAACTTTAAAGTTGGTAATTCCAACTTTAAGTCTTGGCTTTTCCAACTTTAAAGTTGGTAATTCCAACTTTAATCTTCGCTTTTCCAACTTTAAAGTTGGTAATTCCAACTTTTATCTTGGCTTTTCCAACTTTAAAGTTGGTAATTCCAACTTTAATCTTGGCTTTTCCAACTTCAAAGTTGGTAATTCCAACTTTAATCTTGGCTTTTCCAACTTCAAAGTTGGTAATTCCAACTTTTATCTTGACTTTTCCAACTTTAAAGTTGTGTGATTCACAAACCCGAACAATTCACACTTAACTTAGAAAACATTCCTTTTATTTACATTTCCATGTAACATGTTTGGAAGCACCACAAATATTTGAATTTTTCGCTGCCCTATATAGCTATATATTTACATTTGTAAAATGTTTTCCTTTATATAATACCACTGAAAGCAATGTGTATCTATGGAGAAAAGTGCAGAAATGGAACTTTACAATTCAATATGTTAAAAGTTTATAAAATATATGAAGACAAAGTTTCAGGGTTTTTTTATTTGAAGATTGCAATAAAATTATTAAAATTTCTCAATCACACTTCGATTGAGAGAAATATAGAAAATTACTGCAGATGTAACTCTTCTGTGTGGGAGAAAAGAAAAGAACAAGAGCCACGAAGCAACAAAATCCGCACCAAATTCAAAATTTGCGAATATTTGTCAAATGAAAGTCTGGTGAACGTGCATTGTAGACCCACCTTACCCTCCGGGATCAAGATTTGAACAAACTTGAAACTATACCTACTGAGGATGATTGCACATGAGTTATATCTTTCCTGGCGAGGAAGTCTTAAGAGGAAGATTTTAAAGAGACGCCATTAATTTTTTTCACTTATTTGCAATTATCTCCCTTTGAAATAGGGTGGTTGTACATTTGACAATTTTAAGAAATATGATTCACGTCAACCGTGAATACTCTCTGCCAAGTTTGTTTAAAACAACCCAGTAGTTGGGGAGTGAAGATTAAAATGTGAAAAGTTTACGACAGATAACGGTCAATTCTCAATCGAGCCTTCAGCTGAGGTGAGCTAAAAAAAATTCTTAAAAAAAGAGTTTGAGTTAACTTTTAAATTAAATCAAATAAAGGTACCACAAAGCGGTGGATCCCCTAGCAAAAGGGTATAATATCTTATTATAAGTTATTATAACTGGTGCAGAATTCGGGAATCGATCCCGGTACCTCTCATTAATTCCAGAATGAGATAAAGTCGGTTAACCAGGTGAATCTCATTCTGGACTTCAGCCGATGATACATTTTTTATTTAACCTTAACCATCAAAGTTTTAGGAGTCTCGAATGACATTGGGCTGATCATGAGTTTGTTCAGTTACACCCGGGATTTTGGCTATTTCAGTGAGAAGACACACCAAGTGGAATAACTCTTAAGATCTTTGAGTTGGGTCGGAAAGATTCAATTCAGC